GTCGAAGACCCACCGAGTCCCTATAAGAAGGTTGTCGAAGACCCACTGAGTCCCTATAAGAGGATTGTCGAAGACCCACCGAGTCCCTATAGGAAAATTGTCGAAGGCCTACCGAGTCCCTATAAGAAGGTAGTCGAAGACCCACCGAGTCCCAATAAGAAGGTTGCTGAAAACCCACCGAGTCCCTATAAGGTTGTCGAAGACCCACTGAGTCCCTATAAGAGGATTGTCGAAGACCCACTGAGTCCCTATAAGAGGATTGTCGAAGACCCACGGAGTCCCTATAAGAAGGGTGTTGAAAGCCTACCGAGTCCCTATAAGAAGGTTGTCGAAGACCCACAGAGTCCCTATAAGAAGGTTGTTGAAGACCCACTGAGTCCCTATAAGAAGGTTGTCGAAGACCCACTGAGTCCCTATAAGGATGTCGAAGACCCACAGAGTCCCTATAAGAGGATTGTCGAAGACCCACTTAGTCCCTATAAGAAGGTTGTCGAAGACCCACTGAGTCCTTATAAGAGGATTGTCGAAGACCCACTTAGTCCCTATAAGAAGGTTGCTGAAAACCCACCGAGTCCCTATAAGGTTGTCGAAGACCCACTGAGTCCCTATAAGAGGATTGTCGAAGACCCACCGAGTTCCTATAAGAAGGTTGTCGAAAACCCAACCAGTCCCTATAAGAGGATTGTCGAAAACCCACCGAGTCCCTATAAGGTTGTCGAAGACCCACCGAGTCCCTATAAGAAGGTTGTCGAAGACCCACTGAGTCCCTATAAGAGGATTGTCGAAGACCCACCGAGTCCCTATAGGAAAATTGTCGAAGGCCTACCGAGTCCCTATAAGAAGGTTGTTGAAGACCCACCGAGTCCCAATAAGAAGGTTGCTGAAAACCCATCGAGTCCCTATAAGGTTGTCGAAGACCCACTGAGTCCCTATAAGGTTGTCGAAGACCCACTGAGTCCCTATAAGAGGATTGTCGAAGACCCACGGAGTCCCTATAAGAAGGGTGTTGAAAGCCTACCGAGTCCCTATAAGAAGGTAGTCGAAGACCCACCGAGTCCCTATAAGAAGGTTGTTGAAGACCCACTGAGTCCCTATAAGAAAGTTGTCAAAGACCCACTGAGTCCCTATAAGAAGGTTGTCGAAGACCCATTGAGTCCTTATAAGAGGATTGTCGAAGACCCACTTAGTCCCTATAAGAAGGTTGCTGAAAACCCACCGAGTCCCTATAAGGTTGTCGAAGACCCACTGAGTCCCTATAAGAGGATTGTCGAAGACCCACCGAGTCCCTATAGGAAAATTGTCGAAGGCCTACCTAGTCCCTATAAGAAGGTAGTCGAAGACCCACCGAGTCCCAATAAGAAAGGTTGCTGAAAACCCACCGAGTCCCTATAAGGTTGTCCAAGACCCACCGAGTCCCTATAAGAGGATTGTCGAAGACCCACTGAGTCCCTATAAGAGGATTGTCGAAGACCCACCGAGTCCCTATAGGAAAATTGTCGAAGGCCTACCGAGTCCCTATAAGAAGGTAGTCGAAGACCCACCGAGTCCCAATAAGAAGGTTGCTGAAAACCCACCGAGTCCCTATAAGGTTGTCGAAGACCCACTGAGTCCCTATAAGAAAGTTGTCAAAGACCCACTGAGTCCCTATAAGAAGGTTGTCGAAGACCCACTGAGTCCCTATAAGGATGTCGAAGACCCACAGAGTCCCTATAAGAAGGTTGTTGAAAACCCACCGAGTCCCTATAAGGTTGTCGAAGACCCACTGAGTCCCTATAAGAAAGTTGTCAAAGACCCACTGAGTCCCTATAAGAAGGTTGTCGAAGACCCACTGAGTCCCTATAAGGATGTCGAAGACCCACTGAGTCCCTATAAGAGGATTGTCGAAGACCCACGGAGTCCCTATAAGAAGGGTGTTGAAAGCCTACCGAGTCCCTATAAGAAGGTAGTCGAAGACCCACCGAGTCCCTATAAGAAGGTTGTTGAAGACCCACTGAGTCCCTATAAGAAAGTTGTCAAAGACCCACTGAGTCCCTATAAGAAGGTTGTCGAAGACCCACTGAGTCCTTATAAGAGGATTGTCGAAGACCCACTTAGTCCCTATAAGAAGGTTGCTGAAAACCCACCGAGTCCCTATAAGGTTGTCGAAGACCCACTGAGTCCCTATAAGAGGATTGTCGAAGACCCACCGAGTCCCTATAAGAAGGGTGTTAAAGACCCACTGAGTCCCTAAAAGAAGGTTGTCGAAGACCCAATCAGTCCCTATAAGAAGGTTGTCGAAGACCCACTGAGTCCCTATAAGAAAGTTGTCAAAGACCCACTGAGTCCCTATAAGAAGGTTGTCGAAGACCCACTGAGTCCCTATAAGGTTGTCGAAGACCCACAGAGTCCCTATAAGAGGATTGTCGAAGACCCACTGAGTCCCTATAAGAAGGTTGTCGAAGACCCACTGAGTCCTTATAAGAGTATTGTGGAAGACCCACTGAGTCCCTATAAGAAGGTTGTCGAAGACCCAATCAGTCCCTATAAGAGGATTGTCGATCGAAGACGCGGTATGGCTATAACATTTGCCCCAGTAAAAAATTCATACGTCAGACAATGTATTGTTAATTAAAAGACTTATATGTCATACTGCAGCAGTACCAAAACAGTATCGCGAAAGTAAATCACATCATAAGGTGTAAAATAATATGCAGCATGTCCACATTTGAGTTAGATATTAAAAACCTGAACCCTACCTGTGCTCTCCCTTAATATTGTGTGCAAGTCGAAACCTGGGACGGTCTATTCACTTCGTTTGGTTGGTTTTTTTTCAGTTACAAATACGTCTGTAAATACCTTCCTGGATTGAAAAAATCCGGAAGAAGGAAGCAATTTGCATAAAATATGCGTTGTATTTTCTATAAATATACAAAATTTTCCAACATTAGTTGAGATTATTTTTAACGTTATAGATACACATCAAAATTATTTATAACATTAAAGTAGATTGTAACCAATAGAGTCGCAAAAGAAGACATTTATACAACAACGTCAATGATAAAAGAACCACCTTTTTATGGTTAATGGTATAGATGAATAAAATGTAATATTCAAACAATTTTATAGAAAAACAATCATTTGCTAATTTAAAATCATCCTGATATTAACTTAATATAGTATTTTTTTGTATTTTTTTCTATCACTAACTTAAAAATGTACATACTGTTTCACGTTTACCAATGCATACATGCTTTTTTACCGGGCCAATGATAGCTGATGAATAAGCATTCTTGTTCTCAATCCTGAGGTAGAGATAGGATGATACCTGAATATAATCAGGTATTAACATTGAAAAAAGTAGGCTGTATTTGGTAGGAGCATTTACCTCAGTAATGTATATTTCTATATAAATAGTTAATCCACATCCATATCTTAATTATGAACAGATAATCAGCGTTACTGGGATTTTTTAAAAATTTAATGTTAAATTGTTTTATCGGTACAACATTATCAAATTATGAGTCTATTATAGAAATCAGGTAAAAATAAAGGTATTTTTTGGTCGAAAATTGCAAGTTGTATATGAATAGAAAGGCTGTTAAAATGTCCAGTCGCACATTCTTACAAAGGTTTTGTTCAAGTTATCCCGCTTTTAAGTGTAGTATGATTTGATGCAGGCTCGAAACTAGAGAGAAGTCAACAGCACTTAGAGATGACATAAGACGATCAGTGACGAGATTCCGGCCTGAACAGTAAAACATGGCGTGATCAAACTGGAGTTGTAAAATCTCACCGAAGTAATTCGTGCCAGTGTTACTCGGTCTTTTGGATTTGTCGCCTTTCTTTTCTTTTTTTTCATCTTAGACATTTTCTCAGTTTTGGTTGACGTGTGTTGTCTTTCCTTCAATTTTTGATTTCTCCATTGGTATCCTAATTATTACATTTAAAGTTTAAAAAAAAATAGACATGTATAATCGACAAATACCATTCGAATTTGACATCCCATAAAATATAGTGCTAACTTACAAGCATTAATGGTGCAAAAAGTCGCCCAGCCTGCCACAACAAAGTTAAAACCTATTAACTTAACATTCAAGTTATATTTAGTTATACGATATACCATTACCTCTGATTACTTGAACTTAGACTGTCACATATATATGTGTAAACTTAAATATTATCCTCAGAATATAAGTTCCCAAGGGACAATATATTAAGTAAAAACTATCCCTACAGATGAAATATAAGTCATTAATGGATATTTTTTACCTTTAAAAGTTGTCCCACTCTAAAAAAATGTATCCGCTACGAAGGATAAAATCAATGTAGATATAATATCCTAAGGATAAAAGTGAGTAGTAAAATAATTTCCCATGGGATAATATTACCAAGAAATTTATTATTTCTAGGGATAATATTTCTACAAAATTATATCCATTTGGGATAATATTTCAGTAAAATTATATAATTTATAGTGAATATTGTTTTATTTCGAGGACAGAATTTTCCAAGCATTAACTGGGTTATTCTTAACCAGATATTCCCAAAATTTCCTACTAAGGACTGTTTTTAATTTTTACGTAAAATGATCCGGGAGATAAAATGTCTTTGAATATTTTATCCTCTAGGATAGAAAATTGCAACATTTTATATCCCACAACACTAAAATAATATCCATCATTGTGGATATTTTTTTAGTGTTGGGGATATAATTTGTTGCAATTTTCTATCTTAGAGGATAAAATATTCCAAGACATTTTATCCCCCGGATCATTTTACAGAGGGGATCAAATTAATTGTTACAGTTGTACATAAATATTTAATTTACTTTAAAATACGATACTATGTATTTACTACTACGAATTGACTCTGCATTACCGGGAATTTCAATGGCAGTGTATATTAAATTGTTATGATCTAATACACACGTACTGTCAAACATAAACAAAACTACCTTTACCCGGCCAATTGATATATTGTAGCCTCGTTCTAATACTATACTGTCCTCGATTTCTTTACAGCTGGCAGACGTGTTTACTGAGGCTATTTTAACTGAGGATATATTTCAGTCCTTAGACCAAGTGTCCAGTAGGGCCATGTCTGAAACTATGGAATCTGTGAAAGGGTTAAATGAAAATGACTTTCTTAATCAGCATGTGCTTAGTGAAGAGAAAGCAGAAGTAATCATAGCAGGCGCAGTCGGTAAGTAAAAACGAAAGTAGATTTTCAAGGAATTCCCTTTGTTGACAAAATACCAAGAAATTAAGTAAACTGTGAATTTCCATAAAAAATTTTAACGGAAATGATTGTTAGGTTTTCTTTAATCTTTTAAAAATGGATTGGGAAGCAAGTGATATAGACTTTTGGACTGGAAATATATTTAGTAAAATTAGTTGTTTTCATGACAACGGAAACGAAAGTGCTCAACTACCGGCAAGCGCAGGTAGGCTTTCAGAGAATTTTTTCATGCATTTGCTGTTTTACCCGTGTGTTAATTATTGTAAATGTACTTATTGTGTTATATTCTCATTTGTTAATTAATTTATTCGCTTAAACATGTGGTGTCCCTCACTCTTTTTTCTTCACACAAAATTTCCCCCGGCACCCTATCCACTCATGTCGGACGACTGCAAGTCAGAACCACGTGTTTGGTAGAGAACATGTTGTACAGAAATGGACTAAAACGGTAACAGGCTCTATATCTGTAGGCCCATTGACCCCCCCTTTTTTTATATATATATTTCACAACTGTGATCAGGGTATACTATTCATGGGAATTGCATTGTTTCAATAATTCCTTATGATGTCAAATTTTTTTGTGTCTGTTTTTCTAATGAATTGGATCGAGTACCAAAGCTGTATCTTTTTTAAATACCTGCATGCCGTATACTCTTGGCAAATATGATAATAAAGAGCAAACATTTTGTAAAGACACTTGTTCACTATCAAAGACGTATGTTGAATTTTAGACAGTCTTTTAGTTTTTTGTGTCGTTGGGCTATTATTTCATAAACATATTCCCATCATCTCCTTTCATTCATATGAAAAAAAAATTGATTAAAAGATGATGTTGTAAAAACGAAAGAGAATAGAATGAAGTTTCATATGGGTATTGCGATAAATGATTATGACGTCTAACGCCGGGCGGTACTAATGGTACCATGGTCAATACTGTATGTAATGATAGACAGGACTGGTGTACATACCTAGTATCCACGTCAGGGGTAAATCAAGGGGGGTACAAAGTAATAACAACACCCCTGTTATTGTAGAAAACTGTGTTTTTAGTACATACTTATGACTTTAGTCCCCCTTTTTGGCAAAATTTTACGGAGATCCCCTCTGGCCTCCCCCCCCCCCCCATTTGTTTTTTAAGGCAAGTTCTGGATCCGCTATGGCACACCATTTGTCAAGTTTGGACATACCCGTCAACCTGACTGGTAGGAATATTTAATGCAGATCAATACTAAATCCTCCGCCTATTGTCTCTGAAAGAGAGAGAGAGAGAAAATAGTACCTGGAAAACGCTTAATTATCGGTTATAATTGTTTGCCATAGTCAGTGGAAAATGGACAGGGGAAGGAAAGTAATTAAAAACTGTTCTACATTAACGCAGAAATAATTAGCTAAGAGAGATTCGCGCAAAATAGAAAACTAAGCAGTTGAGAAGACAAGCATGTTCAGTGGCTGGTGATTACTTTCTGTTACATGCATGACCTATTTTCATAAATTAACCAATAAAAATATATCAAGAAAATTCAATACTATTTTGTACAAATTGTTTGTGAGTGCAGATGAATATATTGATGTAAATGTGACATTCAGGACGGGTAAAGCAGGACTACTTTTCTTTCTTCAATAAAATACAAAGCTCAATAACAATCAAGTGAAGTCGGACACATGACTAAGTGTATAATTACATATCAAGTTTTCGTAATGATATGATAAATATTAGAAGTCAGTGAGAACTTTCTACGATTATGTATCTTTAAGAACAGATTTAACAGGATCTCGGTGATGAATTTGTAATTACCGAATGACTTGTGACGTTTCTCCTTTTGTCGTTAGCTTCAGAACAAAAAACCACGTTACAAGTTCTCTGTCTATTTTCCCCTCAGGGTTTCCCCAAATATTTACTTCCTGGTCTAGAGTACCTTATGTTTGCATTGTTGACAATATTAAGGGTATACAATAATTGACAATTTAAATTATCTCTGGGGTTCATGCCAGAGGGATTTAAATATGTTTTATCTGTTCGGTTGATAACTTTAAATATTTGTAATCGATACCGTTATAAAATAGGAACAGTTTAAAAAGTTATATCAAATAATACATATATATATATCAAATCTTGCGTCCAACTTTAAAATCAATCAGATTACACTTCAATCACCTGCATACCTAACGGTATCTAAATGACATTTTCCACTTTACATTTTATTTTGCAATCCGAACGGTTGTTATCTTATTTTTCTTATGATGACCCCTACACTTTTTCAAATCATATAGGAAATTGGAGAATCTCACATACATTATGATAAATCCTCCTATATTTGTAGATTTCAATGTTATCGTTCTTTTATAATGTTGGTAACAATTCCTTTTTATTTTTTAATGCATTTTAGGCCCGAGCATACCCAATAGTCATACTAAGTCTTATGCCTATAGTATTGCATGACCCCTTCCATGTCGGTCAGGTTCAGTAGTCTTGACATTTAAACTTTAAGACTGAATACACAGATAATAAATGACTTCCAGAAAATCTAGTTGACAATTCCTTTTTATTTTTAATGCATTTTAGGTCCAAGTTAGATCAAAATATCCTATGGTAAAAATATTGAGTGTGTAAATGCTTATATTATTGACCCCTAGCTTCCATGTGGATCAGCTTATATATTATTGACCACTTCCATGTGCATCAGGTTCAATCTTGACATTTAAACATAGTGAGTGACTTTCAGAAAATCTAGTTGAAAACATACATTTGTATGTGGTAATCTCGTATCGAGATATGTTTATCATTGTGTGCAAGGCAATTCCATAAGTTCAAAACTTATTATGTGATTTGGGGTTTTAATTATGTCTTTCATTTGAATGAAAATAATCATTATCATTTTTATCATTATTTTTATGTTAGTAATGCCTTTATTAAAACGAAGATTTCGATATTCTGTCATTGGTTGGGGCAATGGTCAACACTGCTATTTTTTTTCTCTTTCTCACATTTATTTTATAATATACTTGTTGTAAAATACTAGCATTAGCATAGTAACTACTTGTTGAGAGCAATTATGCTTTCCATGTATAAACATGTCTTTTTAAATATACACTTATTTTGCACATGGGAAGTTTTAAATAGTGTTTGAAAGACGATACCCCGAAAATTACGTTTTTAAATGTCCATAAACAGTCCCATTGTTAGTCCATAGAGCTACAACTTACACAGGTTGTTTAGTAACTCTATATATTATATATCTGGGGTTCGGGTTATGGTAGAAGTTTATTTCATTGGTAGTTTGTATACACATGATATTCAACTATTCTATGAGAAATATCTGTCGTTCAAATTTCTTTTATTATACATCCGTATATATTCAAGACTTGAATTGTGTATGCAAATATTCAGTGGTTACATATAGTTCGTTTCTTCTTAATAGTCTGGCTTTACAAATCTGCATTTTTAGCTGATCTGTTCCAAAGTGTCAGTGCATCTTGGTCACAAACATTCTTCGATTTTCGAGTTTCAAAGTTGCTTCTTTTTTTTTCGTCCACAAACAGACACTGTATATAGAATATATTGTCTTGATAATATAAGATAAAGAAAATGTGATAGTATTTCCAATGAGACGAGACCACTATCCACCAGTGTACAAAAATATAGGGTATTGTACAACCTTCAACAATAAGGAAAACCTATACCGTATAGTGAGCTATAAAAGTTCTCGGCATGGCAAAATGTGAAATAATTCAAAAGAGAAAACAGACGGCCTGATTAATAAACTGCCTCGCTGAGCGCAGCTAGACACGCCCGCAGAGGTCCAACCCTGAACAGTTGGGGCAAAAATGGACACAATATTCAAGCTTGAATAAGGTCTGAATTTGGATTGTAATTAAATATTTGACATATTATAGGTTTCTGAATAAATGTAGTCAAAGATCTTGAAATTGGTAACATGAATTGAATTTATATTCAATTAAAGATTTCTTGCTGTTGTGCAATACTTAGTAAATCTGTTGTCAGACTATAAACAAATAAAGTTCAATTAATTCTCAATGTCATATTAGAAATTTATGAAAATAAAAAGGGAGCTTACATCAATAGATATAAACAATTCACCAAAGTTTCATGAGAATTGGTGACAGCATTTTTGAGTTATTGTCCGAAAACTGGAAAATCACCCCTTTTTTTAATGAATAAAACCCCATAACTCAGAAATGTAAAATTTATAAAATTCTAAAGAAAGCTTACATCAATACATACAAACAATTCACCAAAGTTTCATAAGAATTGCTGACAGCATTTTTGAGTTTTTGTCCGAAAACTGGAAAATCCCCCCTTTTTTTATGAATAAAACCCTGTAACTCGGAAACGTAAAATCCAAAATTTATAAAAATCGAAAGGGAGCTCATGTCAATAGATATAAACAATTCACCACAATTTCTTGCAAATTGGTGAAGCATTCTTGACTTATTGTCCGAAAACTGGAAAATCCCCCTTTTTTTAATGAATAAAACCCCACAACTCGGAAACGTAAAATCTAAATTTTATAAAAAACGAAAGGGAGCTCACGTCAATAGATATAAACAATTCACCAAAGTTTCATGAGAATTGGTGACAGCATTTTTGAGTTATTGTCCGAAAACTGGAAAATCACCCCTTTTTTTAATGAATAAAACCCCATAACTCAGAAATGTAAAATTTATAAAATTCTAAAGAAAGCTTACATCAATACATACAAACAATTCACCAAAGTTTCATAAGAATTGCTGACAGCATTTTTGAGTTTTTGTCCGAAAACTGGAAAATCCCCCCTTTTTTTATGAATAAAACCCTGTAACTCGGAAACGTAAAATCCAAAATTTATAAAAATCGAAAGGGAGCTCATGTCAATAGATATAAACAATTCACCACAATTTCTTGCAAGTTGGTGAAGCATTCTTGACTTATTGTCCGAAAACTGGAAAATCCCCCTTTTTTTAATGAATAAAACCCCATAACTCGGAAACGTAAAATCTAAATTTTATAAAAAACGAAAGGGAGCTCACGTCAATAGATATAAAAATTCACCAAAGTTTTATGCAAATTAGTTAAAGCATTTTTGAGTTAATGTCCGACATGTTGACGACGGACAGACGGACGGACAGACGGACAACGGTATACCATAATACGTCCCGTAAACGGGCGTATAAAAAAACAGTAAACGAAAAACAGATGTAGCAGACAGCGACTAACGATAACCACTGATTTACAGGCTTTTTAACTTTGGACAAGCAAACAAAAGAATGAGGCAGGCTTAAGCATGAGTTTGTTGGCTTCATTTACTATCTGTATAGACGTGGTATTATATTCTAGCATAGCTACTTTTAATTTCAAATTTTACATTCGCTAGGATGGTAATAAGAACGATAACTCTTATTGTTTTTACAGACTCGAGCATCCAAGAGCTGACGCAACCTGATGATTTAATGATCCCATTAATGTGGCCAAATGTTTATGGTGACCAAGGTGGTGAAACTCTAGTCGTAGAATACGAAATAGAGGTTCCTCCAGAAGAAACCGGGGAAATGATATACGCAAATTCACCCGGTTCTGCTGGCGATATTTCAGATTTCTCTTCCGGTAAGTTTAGTCTGTCTATAGTGATCAATGTGTTTAAATTCTAGTCTTAAAGAAATCAGAGTAATAATCTAATGGTAAGTTGCCAAAAAAAAAAAAAAAAAAAAAAAAACGGAAAATAATCATGCATCGAAATGATGTTCTCATAATTTCATTACTTTCATGACAGGAAAACGAACAAAAAACTACCAGCTATCGACAGAAACGTTTGCTAATGAAGTCTTCAGACTCTAGAAACGTGTTTCTATAATAGCTATCGTGTATGCTTGTAACCTTAATCCTTTGAAGCTTAGATAGTTCCAGTTGAAATTTACTATCAACGTCTTATTTTCAGCTCGGAATTTTTGCCCTAAAATGTCACTAAGAACCAAAGTACCAAAGGATTCCACGTTTTGAAATAGAATGCGCCAGTATACATATTATGCATATTATATCCGCCCTTTTCTATAATTTTCTTTTTAATATGAGACACAGTAAACGTCTCTCTCTATGCATGCAATGCTAGTCATGTGAATTCAGACTCCCGTCAGTAGAGGAAATAGGTCATGTGAATTATAGGTCATGTGAATTCAGACTCCCGTCAGTAGAAGAAATAGGTCAGGTGAATTCAGACTCCCGTCAGTAGAGGAAATAGGTCATGTGAATTCAGACTCCCGTCAGTAGAGGAAATAGGTCATGTGAATTCAGACTCCCGTCAGTAGAGGAAATAGGTCATGAGAATTCAGACTCCCGTCAGTAGAGGAAATAGGTCATGTGAATTCAGACTCCAGTCAGTAGAGGAAATAGGTCAGGTGAATTCAGACTCCCGTCAGTAGAGGAAATAGGTCATGTGAATTCAGACTCCCGTCAGTAGAGGAAATAGGACACAATTGGTAAATGTTTGGATAGAAGAACTATTCTGGTTTCCTAATATTCTGCAAAAACACGTGTCTTTCGTCAGTTGAGACAAGTCGTTCGTAACAGTCAACAAATTTGTAAAACTAAGGTATAGAAAATCGACACTAAACTACTATAAGTGACAATTTCTTGGCAGAAAAACGGACCGGAAGCTACTATGCGTCAGAAAATATGTTCTTTTTTCTTTCAAGTGTGAAATAAATATGATGTATTGAAATCATGCATCAAACTACATATCCTTGTTTTTGAATAACAAGTAATTGTTGGTCCCTTTAAAAATCTATTTTAAATTAAAATGCTTATTTAGCAAACATATACACACTTTCCGGTCCTTAAAATGGCAAGTTCAGAGCTGTTCGCAGTTTTTTACCCAGATATTCAAATGCATATTAATGGAGTGCATATTTTGCAGTTCGATAGACAAAAAGTCTTGATTTTCCTGGAAATGGGTTTCTTTAACTCGAGGACGCTTTTTTTTTTGTAAAACCTAAATCATGAGTGTTTATCGGCATAATCATCGAATAAAGCTGATTTGGGTCTTCATGAAATTGAGGTTTTATTTTACCATTTTTATACGACCTCAAAAAAATTTGCGTTCGTATAATACCAGAGGAGGGACGACAGCCTTAGGTGCTGTGTGCAAATTTTTGTAGGTCACGTGGTACGATTTTAGCGTCCCTCGACAATTTTGAATCTGGAAAAGATCGATTTGTTCATGTTTTTATATCAAATATACTCTCTTGCACTGGCCGAAAATACAGAAAGTTTTGAAATAAAAAGATTAATCAATTATAGAAGATCACTTTATTTGAAATATTTTCTTTATGTTTTTTTTATCTTTTAGAGTAAATTCTATCAATAAAGAAATGCACTGAAATGGCGGGAAATTTTATTCGATCTCTGCAAAATCACGAGGCACAGATTTTTGAAAATTTTACAAATGTCAGCAAGTGAAAATCATTCAAATTTATGTCAATCAAAGAACACTATTCGAACATTCTAAATCCTCTTAAGTCTCCAGCCGTTGCTTAGTAATAAGTCGCTAAAATATGATTTCCGGTAAGTAAACAATGATATCCAAAATATTTGTCAAATCCGCGAGTAATTATGTTATTTTAGGCATATAAACTCTTATGTATTTTAATTATTTTGAAAACAAAATGAAAATTTTGTTTTATGAATAACCATCATGAAAAAATATAGTTTTTTTTCATAATTGAATCGTGCATTATTTGTGTATTGGATTGCTTAATTAATTGCCTTCCGTCTCTAGTGTTATCTCTGTTTTGTTTACTGACAAATGACGAAATAATGCAATATTTAAAATTTAGTATTTTACAAAACTTTGTCCCGATTAAAAACTTAAAACCGACTGAATAAATTGAGAATTCAGTGATTATCGATGTCGAAATTAGCCCTTGGTAATAAACAGTCAGTTTGGGTATAAATATGTTTATTGCCAAGAAATAACTAACAAATTTGTTTATTATGTATGTACAAAGTATATATGTATATTGCATGATCAGCCCTTTTGCATATTACTTGTTTTTTTTAATTGATTCAAAAAATTTCGCTTGTCCAGGTGTCACTAACGGTGATGTCCACACCACGAGTAGTTTGATATAAATGACACAATACAACAAATGGAAGTTTTTAACGACCTTGACTGGCTATACAGCCCTTGCACGGTCGGTAATGACACAATACCACCCCGACCGATCGATAATACAAGACAAATATGCGTGCCGTGTGCAGAGTGTCGTCCCTCCTCTAGTATAATACTATCATGTCGTCGTCGTCCGAAGACACATTTGGTTTCAGGACAATAACTTTAGTTTAAGTGAATGGATCTCTATGAAATATTACCAGAAGGTTCAATACCACAAACAGAAGGTTGGGATTGATTTTGGTGGTTATGGTACCAAGTTTAAGAATTAGGGGCCAAAAACAAACATTTTTGTAGTTTCCGGACAATAACTTGTGTGTAAGTGTATGGATCTCTCTGAAATTGTACCACAAGGTTGCATATCACAAAGGGAAGGCTGGGATTGAGTTTAGGGGTAATTACCACAAACGTTCAGGAATTAGGGACAAAAAGGGGGCCAAAAACAAGCATATTTCTAGTTTCCAGACAATAACTTGTGTTTAAGTGTATGGATCTCTCTGAAATTGTACCACAAGGTCCCATACCACAAAGGGAAGGCTGGGATTGAATTTGGGTGTATTGCCCTAACGTTTAGAAAAAAGGGGCCAAAAACAAACATTTTTCTAGTTTCCAGACAATAACTTGTGTTAAAGTTTATGGAACTCTCTGAAATTGTACATTTTGCCCGAAAGGATAATAATCTTCAAAATTTAAAAAAAAATTGTAGGGGGGGGGGGGGGGGAGATTTTTTAAATTTGTTTTGGGGGTTCATATTTTTTTTTCTTCAAAACTTTTGAAATTTCAGATTTTTTTTTTTTTAAATTTTGGGGGATGGGGGGAGTTCATACTTTTTTCTTCAAGATTTTTCATACAAAATTTTTTTTGGGGGGCACAATTTTTGTGGGGGATTTTTTTTTCATAATATTTGTTTTTTTTTCCCAAAATTTTCCATTTTTACATTGATTATTTCTGATTTATATATAAAAGCAACAAATACTGATATTGCAGGAGATATACACCAAACAGGGTGTGTAAATTATTATATATAACAGATTAACAAAGTATTGTGCAACAGCAATAAATCTTCAATTGAAAATAAATGCAAATCTTTTAACCAATGTCAATGGGATTAATTTAACGTCTTTAATTTTTGGGGGTTCTAACCTTGTATTACAATTTGGATATTGGGCCCCATTTTTAAATTGGTCCACATTGAGGTCCAAAGGGTCCAAAATTAAACTTTGTTTGATTTCATCAAAAACTGAATTATTGATATTCTGAATCTTATTGTGCATTTAGATTTTTTTTATTTTGGGCCCTGTTTTTAAACAAGTCCATATTAAGGTTTGAAGGGTCCAAAATTAAACTTTGTTTGATTTCAACTAAAATTAAATTTTTGGTGTTTTTTTTTCATATGGTGAATCTAACCATGTTGTTAGATTTTGGATATCAGACCATACTAGGTAAATTAAATGTCCCATTCCAATTCTTTAAGATCTTTGTCTACATTTATTTTGTGTCAGAAACCTATATTATGTCAAAAATTTGATCATAATCCAAATTCAAACAGTATCAAGCTTGAATATTGTGTCCAAACTTGTCCCAACTGTTCATGGTTCAACCTCTGCGGTCGTACCAGACTGCGCTCGGCGAAGCATTTTATTTTTAAAATCAATTCGTTAGTTTTTATACTTGGTAATCCCAGAAATAGTATTCTACTCGATCGATCGTTTAAAGGTCTGAGAAAGCAACCAGGAATAGTCTTGTTCAACATTCTCTGCAATATCGGAATCCTGTATTGGTTGAAATTGCCACAGAAGACATCAACAGTTTTTTCCCCCAGATTTTCAAGATCAGAAAGGGTGCTTTAAGATTAGAAATTTAGTGAAATATTAAAATAATTTATAATAGAAAGCGTATAGCCAAATTCATGTACTACAAATGCATACAGTAACACATTTACCGTTTTTCTCTCTTGAAATTTGTACATATTATCTGGGACTATTATACTAAGTTAGTATGATAGTCCCAGATATTATTCTTGAAGCAGAACACAATAGATTACAAAGAAAGTAATTTGGGTCCAAGTGCTTATTTTGAAAACCAAGTTTTTTATTAGTCCCCTACCGACAAAGTCGAAGGGGACTTAAGGTTTGCACTCTGTCCGTCTGTCTGTCTGTCCATCCGTCAGTCCGGCAAATCAGTTTTCCACACTTTTTTCCTTCGTCCTTGAAGATATTGATTTGATATTTGGTGGATTGTTTTATCATGACAAGTTACAGATCAAGTTCGAAATTTGTTCCGGTCTAATGATTTTGTGCAGAGTTATTGTCCTTGGACTCAAATAATCAGTTTTCCGCACTTTTTTTTGTCGTGCTTGAAGAAATTGAATTGATAAATTGGTATATAGTTTTATCATGACAAGTTACATATCAACTTCGAATTTTGTTCCGGTATGGTGATTTTGTGCAGAGTTATGGTCCTTGGACATAGAAAATTCACCTAAATAATCAAGTTTTCCACACTTTTTTTCATCATGCTTGAAGATATTGACTTGATATTTGTTATATAGTAAACACCATGACAAGTTATAGATCAAGTTAGCATTTTCTTCCAGTACAATGAATTTTTAACCGGTAGGGGACTATGTATTGCCATTCAATACTCTCAGAATGCTTGTTCAAGTGACTTTTTGGTGCCATATTACGATTCATTTATGAAGCATCGTCGTGCAGTTATTTCTGCCGTTTATCAAAACATACAAGTTATTATCATAAATTGGAATTTATTGGTGTTAAAATTTTTTTTTAAATTATTTCACTTGAATCGATGCCCTTGTAGAAGATTTTGTGCATTAAACAAAATATTGCATGTTCATTTAACCATTTGTAAATGATTTTAAATTTTAAGTGAAATCTGAAAGCTTCTTATTAGTAAAATTGAAAACTTTGCAAGGATAAATCAACTGCTTAACTACGTCATTGGAACTCTGGTGAATAGTTGTCTCATTGACAATCATACCACATTTCCTTATTTATATATGTAACCTGTATGCATTTGTAGTGGCAAGAAATTAGTACAAGGTTTTCTATTTCCAATAATTGTATAATTTTACAGAAATTTCATGGCATTCATGCAACCTTCATCATAATGACTAGCTAAAAGGCTCAATATATTTTGCCTCCCAAAAAATGGATGGAAATATCTCTTTCCATTTGAAAGTTCGGTTATTTTTTTCAGAAAAGTATTGAAATGATTTTTTTTTTTTTTACCTTTTTTGCAAACATGTGAAAATCAAGCAGAAATATCTAGAAAAGTAGGTCAGGAAGGTGCATGCTTTTTGCATGTTTCGAGAGTCATGCATATCAACAATGTACGGAAGCCGGTTAGAGTCAGGGTGGAGTTTTATTTTTAAGTCGTTATAACAACTTAGCTCACTTGTTATAATGACTTAGCTTATCTAACTCGTTATAACAACTTAGCTAACTTGTTTAAATGACTTAACTAACTCATTTAAACAACTTAGCTGACTTGTTTAAACGACTTATCTAACTCATTATAACGACTTGGCTAATCTAACTCGTTATGACAACTTAGCTAACTTGTTATAACCACTTAGCTAACTCGTTTAAATGACTTAGCTTACTCGTTTAAGCAACTTAGCTTACTCGTTTAAACAACTTCACTAACTGGTTTAAACGACTAAGCTTACTCGTTTAAACAACTTAGCTAACTCTTTTAAACAATTTAACTAACTCATTAAAACCACTTAGCTAACTCATTATAATGACTTAGCTAACTTGTTATAACAACTTAGCTAATTTGTTTAAATGAGTTAACTAAATCATTGAAACAAATTAGCTAAGTTGTTTAAATGAGTTAGCTAAATCGTTGAAACAAATTAGCTAAGTTGTTTAAACGAGTTAGCTAAATTGTTGAAACAAGTTAGCTTAGTTGTTTAAACGAGATAGCTTAGTTGTTTAAACAAGTTAGATAAGTTGTTATAACAAGCTAGCTAAGTTGTTATAACGAATAAGATAAGCTAAGTTGTTAAAACAAGTTAGCTATGTCGTTTTAACGACTTAAAAATAAAACTCCACCCTGACACTAACCAGCTTCCGTAACAATGACTTTGTGTCAAAATTTCAAGGACAAATCAATTTGGTAAAATCTCTTTTGTATCTAATGCCTTCTATGTAATAATTTACCTCATGTATGGCTGTTCGAGTAAGACTGGCTGGCTCACAGCACCAACTAGGCTGTTCGAGTCAGACTGGCTGGCTCACAGCACCAACTAGGCTTTCCGATTCAGACTGGCTGGCTCACAGCACCAACTAGGCTTTCCATGGCTGTTCGAATCAGACTTGCTGGCTCACAGCACCAATTAGGCTTTCCATGGCTGTTCGAATCAGACTTGCTGGCTCACAGCACCAACTAGGCTTTCCATGGCTGTTGGAGTCAAGACTGGCTGGCTCACAGCACCAACTACGCTTTCCATGGCTGTTCGAGTCAGAATGGCTGGCTCACAGCACCAACTAGGCTTTCCGTTGGTTTTAATATCATATTAGGAGAATTTTTAATTGACATGTGTTGAACCATTTAACCTTATTAATGGGATATAAAAAAAACCTTATTGGTGGTATATAAACCTTATTGGTGGTATATAAACGTAGAATGTTTGTCTGTTTTTTTGACTCCAGTCCTTAAATTTTCTGCACAAAAATAATGGTAAGTAAAATAATGGTCACTTTTGTGTTGTAAATCTTTGGACATTCCTGATCATTACATTTTAATTCCGTTTTGGAAAAAAAAGCCAAATGCAGCATACATAGCTCTTATCTACTAATTTTAGCTCACCTGACCCAAAGGGTCAAGTGAGCAAGTTAGCTGTTTTCATCTCTCCGTCCGTTAACTTTTACAAAAAAAAAACGTTTCCTTTGAATTTATTGTAGCAATTTGAATCAAACTTCACCAAAATCATCATTTGTGTATTAGTTTAAAAGTGTTTCAGATGATCCCACTTACCAACCAACATAGATGACATGACTAAAATTTGAACGAAAGGATAAAATGAAAGTTGTGTCTATCATCTTGAAAAACGCTATAGAGAAAATCTGACAGGGGACAGAAGTGTTTAGAATGTTAAGATCAACCTACCGTCTATTTACACAAAAACTATCAGAAGACTTCTTATATGAGTTATTGTCCTTAAATGAAGATTTATTGTATTTTTTTCCCTTTTTGCCTATTATCTTGAAGACTTTAATAGATGGAGAGAAACTTCTAATAGCAAAAATGATCAGCAAGAAGAGATCTATAAATTTGGCAACAAGGCCAAAATTCACAGTGTTGGTTGACTACTTATATGAGTTATTGGCCCAATAAATCACGATGTTTTTACAATTTTGGTAGTTTTGCTAATTATTTTTAAAACTATAATTGATAAAAAAAAAAAAAAGAGAAACTTTTAATGGCCAAAATTATCATTACTAGGACAAGATCTGAAAATGTGCAAATAAGGCAGAAATCGTCGGTTATTTCCCCTACATGGCGATTTTAACCGATTACTATTGAAAAATGATTAATCAGATCTAGTGTGCATTTATTGTACTCTTTTTTCAGCATTTTTAAAATTTTATACAGTTTTTTAAACTATAGTAGAGAAAGAAGAAACTGTGAACAGAAAAAATCATTAACAGCACAAGATCTACAATTAAGTTATTGTCATTTACCTCCTTATAGGAGTTATTGCCCTTAATTGACGATTTTGACTCTTTGATATGTGTTTTGCAAAAACTATTGAAAATAAAGAGAAAATGTTAACAGCAAAATTTATCACCAACATGACCCCAAGACAAGATCTTCAAATTGGTCATGTTAGTCCTTTTCTTATTGCCCTTGAATGACAATTGTTTACACATTTTTGTATGTTGGCCAAAATCTATAGATAAATAGATAAATTTTATTTCCAATAGAGGACCCATTATAGGCTTAGTCAGTACATTGATTTTTTATATCACACAATTGCAATAGACAATACACAAGAAAATAAAAAAAAAGAAATACAATTAACTGGAAAAAAAAACATGAAATATAAATTGAGTTAATAATACATGTAGTCACGTAAACCAGTATGTTTAGTAGATAATAATATAATAGATATAGAAAGGTGAACAAAAAATAAACGACCAGTAAAACTAAATCAGGAAAAAAAAAAACCCTATAAAATCATTTTTTGTCTGCATTGTTAAAATTGCACATTGATCCAGCCTCTTTAGAACCTTTAATCCTGAACAATATGATTATCTGACACTGTAAGTGAAACGAATTCAGGTAAAATTGACCAAACATCTTAATTAAATTAGACTTCTTTGAATGTTGATTTGGAAAGGTACATGTAGGCCTATTACTCAGCGGTGGAAGGGGGTATACTGTTATCATGTCCCATGGAAGATAGTTTTAAAACTATTCATACTTTAACAGTAAATATACATATACTGATAATGTGTGATTTTTAGAATCTAGGCATAACAAGTGAACTTATACAGGTGTTGTCCTTTTGACATTGTTTACCTGTTCACTATTTATAGTTGGTTCAATACACGCATGACAATTTAGTGTATTACTTCCGGGATTATCCCGCCAAATATCGTTGCTAATGAGACGAAATTTCCCGATAAATTTCACTTAAAATTATGCAAATGTATTATAAAATTTATTTGGAATATTTACAAGTGCACCAGTTAATCAGGACTGTACAATTTGTCTCGATTTAAAAGATAATTTGTCTCTGGAAAACCCGGAAGTAGATTTGACATATTTGTCTGGAAGGCATTATTTTCACAACTCTCCAGTTTATTTTGTTTTACTGGCATTAGATCGTATGAATATCGCAAATACATAGTGTTTGTGAACAATGGAAATAATAGATGTTTCAAAAATTAAGAAAGGTAAGGCAAAAACAAGTCACAAACAGCTGTTGTTAGACGAGATATCAGTTTTAGCAAGTCCAGCAGATTAACCACGTCTTAGGAGGTGTAGAGGTTAAATTTTAATAGGAGATATACGAGTTGTTGATACTTTTCTTTTTGTTTGCTGTTAGATTCATAATTGTTCATACAAATAATGATAATTAATTTTGTTCCTTGATTGTTTTTATTGACAATGCAAAAGTAGGTCATGCAAATTGATTATGAAAGCAGTCAAAGGGAAATAACTCTTATTATTTTTACAGAACCTGAGAACGATAGCAGTTGTGGAGGCAGTGATGGTAGTAGTCCAATGATCTCATACAATAAAGTGGAAGTAAAAACTGAACCAGGATTAGATGAGCAACGTCAGGCAGCTCCTTATCTACCAGTTCAGGCAATATTATCTCCGTATGAAGAAGAGGAGTTAGAAGATTATAATGACACAGTTATTCGTCATAAAAAAAGACGAAAAAGTGATGCAGAATATATTGCTGATGGTAGAAAAAGACCTGGTAGAAAGAAGGGACAAAGTAAATATTAGTTACATGTATATACTCACAAGTGAAGCTCTCTTAAAAAGGGAGTGGGGCGCTTGAAAGCATGCATTTATCAATTAATTATTTACCCTACATATCAGTACATGTACTTTCACTTGCGAAAACAGGATCAAAGTTAAATATTCTCTAAGTACCTTTTTATTTCTAGATGAAAGACAAAAGTATTGAGGGAATATTTTAACAATAACCTTAACTTATAAACAGTAAACTTGAAGAATCTTGTATTGATTCATTGATTTTTGCTTGCTTAATCTGGTACACGTGTATTAGTATATATACACACGTAGATATTTTCTAAACATGAAACTTCTGACACCACCACTCACCTTTGTTATTTATACATATTGCTAATTTGTTTGTAATATGCCATATATGTATATATACAATGATATATATAAGTCTAAATTGAAAACAACGTTCAAACCTATGATTGCGTTGGATAAAAAACCGCAATTTTTATACGTGTGCATGCAAAACAAATTTCTTAGTAGAATGATCTAAATACAGCACAAACAACAATTTCCAAAAGACCAAAAAAGTGAAAATGTATACTGTATTTGAATACGCTAATGAGCCTTAAGGCTCAAAGGTAAAAAAGGAATTTGAATTTAGTATAGGCTTAATCAAATGCAAATGTATTGATTGATTGATTATTGCTTGCTTAATCAGATGTAATGATAACTGATAATTGGAAGAAGAAAAAGAATTATTTTTATAATTCCAGTGGTATTATTCTACATAGATTTAATGGATAATAACTTTTTCAGCTTCCAGTGTGTATCACCTGTGGGAGTTCATCAGAGATCTGTTACACGATCCCAAACAGAGAATAATTAAATGGGAGAATGAACAAGAAGGCATTTTTAGGGTTGTTAAGTCTAGTGAAGTAGCTAAACAATGGGGCAATATGAAGAAAAACAGAGAAAAAATGACATATGAAAAACTTAGCAGATCGTTACGGTATGTGTTGTTAACTAATTGTATGTATAAGTTTTGCATTTGGATTATTTAGTTGTTCAATGGCTAAAGTGTTGTTGTTATAACTGCTTTCACATATTTTGTTTTTCGTTTTTGGCTTTTGACTTGTATGTGTTTTCGAAATTTCATGACTCAAATTAGTCCAAAAACATAGAGTCACACAGCAGTTGAATTACAGACGTAAGACTTGCAAGGACCACAGCCAGCCCCAAATCATACCATCAGAAAACCTAAAGCATGGATCAGCACAACATTTTGTGGCTGTTAAGTAGCAGACCAAACAAACAAATCCTTAGTAATTTGGAACACCTACATCATACATTGTCATATACATTTGTTCAAGGACAAAGATAAAAAGGAGAAATAAAGGCTTTCCTGTATAATACTTGGCCTTAAGGACATCCAACCCTTATTCATTCTTTAAAATATTGTCGTGGATTATCACAAGAAAGAGAGGTCAGAGCCAAATTCAAACATGTAACCAAATCATGCAAATTATTATGAAATATCTGCAATTTTTAAGATAAGCTCAAACCACTGAAAATAAGATCATGTTGAGTAAACCTCAACGAGGAAGTAAAATATCAGATTACCTTGTATGTAAAATATCAGATTACCTTGTATGTAAAACAATCAGGGATACTACTTAAACCAGTGATTTAAGGGTCACTTATGTAAGTTAATATGGAATTATAGAATAGAAAATGTTAACATATTTTGACACCAAATCTTTAAAATCACTTATATACATGTAACACATATAAGTAATTTTGAAAATAAAAATTTAAAACACTAATGTAAGTTTTTGTCCTCGGGCTTCAGCTTTTCCGTGTTTAAAATCAATGATTCCATTATGTTTTACACTAGCATGACTAAAATTGAAATATAACGAAAACAATACTTAAACCTAAAACCACATAATTTCACATATACTTTTTTTTTGCATTTAGCCCTTTCCAACCAACTTTGAGACAATTTCCTATCATAATTGATGTATTCATATAAGTTAAGAATTCTGGTTTACAAATCTCGACGATTTATATTTGCATATTTGCGTAATGTTTCAAGTTGTGAAAATGAATTGCTTGCAAAAATTAGCTGCTTAACAGTCATGACAGTAATGGATAAAAAAAAAAATTGTGGGAAAAGTTGTCATTAACATAATTAAGGAGCAAATTAAAAAAAAATCTGTATAAGAAGATCAAAACAAAATCATTTAAAAAGGTGATTACTGAAATTTTTAAAATACAAAAAAAAGTGATCATGAAATCAAGTAATACCCCTGATTGTTAACTAAAAGCAGTGATGGGCTTGATTTGGAGCTTATGATATTATAGATATAAGAAGATGTGGTATGAGTGCCAATGAGACAACTCTCCATCCAAGTCACAATTTGTAAAAGTAAACAATTATAGGTCAAAGTACAGCCTTCAACACGGAGCCTTGGCCCCCACCACTCAGCAAGCTATAAATGGCCCCAAAAATGACTAGTGTAAAACCATTCAAACAGGAAAACCAATGGTCTAATCTATATAAAAAACGTATATTCACCTGTATTTTCTTGAAGACTGCTGACCTCAAGATGTCTTTTGGTTATTTGTTGTTGGGTTGTTGTCTCATTGATGAAGCCGTACATCAACTCCAAGTCTATCTGTAACTCGTCTATATCAAATTAACATCAATAAAAATTGATTTGGTAGATGCTAGCATATAGCATGTATAGTAAATGTCTGGTTAAATGGAAACATTACATTTTAAAGTCCAAGGACCTTTATACAAATGTTCCGTCAATATTAAGAAATTCAAATGATATGTAAACTTGATCTATGTAGCTCATCAGTGAACATTGTATATTGTCCCACACATGTTGATTACTTTTGCAAAGTTGTGAAAATACATATATGTATGTTCTTGCAAGTTCAAAAATTGTGTATGTAATCAATACATTTTAAAGGTATTAAAGAAAAGAAGGCGATTTTGAATCAATTGATAAACTATATTTCTAGGTATTCAAGAAATGAGAAAAGAGAGATATTTTGATTCAATTGATAATCATGAAAATCAACACGATCAATATACATGTTGTACATGAAATATTTAGGTATTCAAGAAAAAAAGGATATTTTTATATTTTATAGGTATTCAAGAAAAGAAGGATATTTTGAAGATGTGCCTAAAGATGAAGGTTATCCTAAAAAACTTTGTTTCAAATTTGGACCAAAATCTCACGGATGGAAAAGACTTTGAATATGAATGCAATTATGTGAATCAAAGAAGTTAGAACATGTAAAATGTAAAACGAAAGAAGACAGCATGTGAATCAAAAGACATAGGGCTGTGTGTAGCAGCGTGCCGAGAGGATGTGTGGTACTGTTTACGTTGAATTCTCAAAATGTGATAATAAACTGTGCAATTTGTGTCAACAAAGCACCTGTTAGTGAAACATTTATATCATAATCATGGTTATTACAATTAACCAATCAAAACATGAGTCTGTATACATGTATCAGGAAATACTTAAATTAGTGACAAAAGTGAAGACAACATTTCATGGAAGCCTATTGTTATGTTATACAGTCAGGGGTAATACTTATACAAATGTTTTTTTATTAACTGGTACAGGTAAATTATTTTGGAGGTAGAGTTATATCCCTTAGACATTCAAATATTTTTTACTTGTAGAATTTCTCTTGACTACATTGTTCTAATAGAGTTTTTAATTGTCTGTCATTAACAGTTGCCTTTCCTATTCATTAAAGTATAATTTCATGGGCAATGAAAATTTCATTTGTCTTTTATCTTCAAAATACTGGTCATTTACAAGCCTTCATGAGGCAATTTTTGAAGGCCTAAGTAAATTTTTGGAGAAAATTAAGGGGAGATAATTAAAATCTTCAAAAATCTTACAAATTTATTTATACAAGTAAATATTACTTATATTTTCAAGTAAATAAAAATGACTTGTATAAGTATTACCCCTGACTGAGCACTTATTACATGTCTTTTCATGAAAAATCTATCATAAACCATAGCACTTATTACATATGGCTTTTCATGAAAAATCTATCATAATCATGAATTATCTTATATACAAATGGGATAACACATTTGCATTGTCATTTTAATTTGATACCTGTGAAAAAATATATATGTGATAAATATCAACAATAAACACTGCTGATAAGTATTATGTGTTAATATTCATAAAAATAGAAAGTTTTTAACATAAGTGTTTGTTTGTAAGTTGTTTATTTCAGAATATTTTAATATTGATGTATGTTGTATTTTATTCCAAAGTGTTATTCATGAATTCTACAAGTGTGCCTTTTTCTATCATTCCAGGTTTTACTATTAATTTTCCTTTAAATCGTGAGAATAGATGTGTTTTTGTAGAATGAATTGATTTTAAACAAGTAGAGGTTTAAATTTTTACATTGTCTATGAAATATCAAGTTATTGATGCACTTAAGGATGTTTGCTCCTCTTGTTTTTGAATTTCTGCCATATTTTCGAATCATCTGGTTTTATCCATGTATTCCCATTAAAAAAATTTGCCCACTAACTCCTACTTTTCTTTTCATAATTTTATTACATATAGTTTAAAAAGCCATATTTGAAAATCTTATAAAATCCTTGTTATTTTTTCATAGTTTTTGAATCAAAAATGCGGCCAATGTTAAAAGTATGAAAAATCTAGAGAGAATCATTTCCTGCCAAATTTTCAATGGCTTCCTTTCTTTATATACTATCATTTCAAAATAGTCTTTTAAAAATCTCGTTACTTTAAAACAGATTAGCGAACATCCTTAAATTACATAAAAATAAGAGTTATATCTAGTGTATTAAATTTTGTCATTTTTTAAAATTTTTATTGTTCTCACAATAAACATGATAAAAGCTACTTATACATTTAAAAAAGAGAATCTGAAAATATGCTAAATTGGGGATGGGACTAACATATTCCTGCTTTTACTAAGTGACAAATCCTTTGAAATTAAAATCCAACTTCATTCTCCCATAACTCAAATTCATACTTCCATAAAACCTACATGACCTGGGGGATATGGGAAAATTTGCTTCCATTGGTTGATCTAGATCTGGTGTTTTCAATAAAAGATGGAAATTAAAATGCTTTATTATGACTATCACCAAAAAGCAAGCCACACAAAAATTCAGGACTGTGATTTAAATTCCTGTATTCTTTAAACCAGACTCTGCATCATTCTTGAGTTTTACACATACATATTTAAAAAAATTTCAGTTGTAAATCTATTATGAGTTGTACTTAAGCAGTTGTTGACTATTCAAATCTACATACATGTACTTTTCTACATGTTAGATTAAGCATTAGAGCTACCACCTGATTTAAATTGTTAATGAATTCATTATATTTATTCAAAGATTTTATTGTCTGCACACTGTAGTAAATGTTCATAAAGATCTGTATATTTTGTAGAATGAAAATTGTAATTTATTTATAGATGTATGATATTGGTTGAAACTGATTGTGTGTATACACATAATCTGATTAGAGTCTGAAACGTGTGGCCTATGTATACTGTTTGCATGTTTTTAAACTAAACATACAATTTATTTGTCTCTGAATAATTCTTGCCAGTGCTTTTGACTTAAATGTTGGGGAAACTTTACTTAACATATATACATGATATACGCTAAATCACATGATATACCCTAAATCACATGATATACCCTAAATCACAGAATTGAAATTAAATTGTAACATTCCATTAATTCTATGTATAGTATATCATACATGTCGTACTAATATAAAGACAGTCTCAGACTTTGAATTTGTTATAGTGATATTTACAACTTTTTTTTTATCAGGAAGAGGGTACTTGAATACTTTACTAACAGCTAACTCAAATTAAATCAAAGAAGACAATAAATTCTGAATATTAAAATAGAAATGTTCTAGTTGACAGTTTTTTCCTTTTAAAAAATAAATTACCACATGAGAAACACTAAATGTTTGTGAAAAGATTATTAAACTAGATTCTTATGATCCCCTAGAAATTGGGGATACATGTATATAGTATGGAACACTGCAGTCTGTTAAAAAATTCAAAAAAGGCTAAAGAACTCATGATAAATATACACACAGCCATTTAAGGAAGATTACATCAATAAACATGTGAAAAAGTTCTTGTATTTTTCATGGAATAATTTTTGAGGATGTTTAATGGTTTTCCACTACTTAAGTATTTAAATACAAAATGACTGTCAATCTTCTTAAATGGCATTGTTTGGTGTTATAGAAGTATATTTAACACTTTTAGTCTTGAATAGTTGAAAGTGGTTATTTTGTTTAAGCCTGTTCCTGAAAATTAATGGCATTTTGGAGTTAAGAAACCTGTTTTGTAATCACTCTCTATATATGCATACAGTTTTACCTGATTGGTCATTTCAAACCATCTCCCATAATTCATATCAAATCAAAAATGCCCAATCTCCCATCATGTGATTTATAAAAACTCTTAGTCATTTCTAAAGTTACTCATAAACTAGCAAATTATCAGATTGGTTAAAACAGAACATAATTTCCACTTTAATTCACTGTAAGTATAATAAAGGTAAGTAAAACAGTACATTTGAATAAACTTTATGAATTACAAAATTCATTTTGATACTGTCTGACATATGAACCTATTTTTTTATACCAATTATCATATATTGTTACTATTGAAATTGTAAAGATGCTACCAAATGCTGATGTCATAGCAATTACACTAAATGTCTAGCCTCATCCAGATTAACAGTTTGTTATACTTGTTAGTTTAAAATAAATTTGAACTTGTATAACGAAAACTGTTTAAAATTGATTAAAATGTTTATTAATTTATACCCTGTACTTTGTACTAATATTAAAGTTTTTATCAGATTTAAAAAAATCTGACATTGCATTAAAATCATATTACACCTAGATAAACTAATCATTACATGAATTTCTATGCAGTATATCTGTTGTTTTATAGTATATAATTAATGAGTACTTTATGTACAATTGCTGTAAATAATATTGTATATAAAAGAATAAAATATATTAAGTTTTTGTAGGAAATAAAATATAATGAAATAATTTTTTCTTTTCTTCATATTTCAAGTAGTAACAGTTAGAAAATAGTGAATCTATTATGTTTGAAAACGGAATAAAAAAATCGAAATTTGGAAGACAGTACTCAAAGGTCACAAATCAAATACTACAAGAGCTGTGAACAGACAACAGAAAAAGATTTAGAAACAGTTGTTTTTATACGACCGCAAAAAATTTTTTGTGGTCGTATATTGGTATGACGTTGGCGTCGTCCGAAGACACTTTAGTTTTCGCACTCTAACTTTAGTTTAAGTGAATGGATCTCAATGAAATTTTACCATAAGGTTCAATACCATAAAAGGAAGGTGAGGATTGATTTTGGGGGTTATGGTACCAACAGTTAAGGAATTAGGGGCCAAAAATAAGCATTTTTGTAACTTCCAGACATAACTTGTGTGAAAGTGTATGGATCTCTATGACATTGTACCACAAGGTTCCATATCACAAAGGGAATGCAGGGATTGATTTTGGGGGTAATTGCCTCCAAATTTTAGGAATTAGGGGCAAAAAACAAGCATTTTTCTAGTTTCATGACAATAACTTGTGTGTTAGTGTATGGATCTCTCTGACATTGTACCACAAGGTTCCATATCACAAAGGGAATGTTGGGATTGATTTTGGGGTAATTGCCTCCAAATTTTAGGAATTAGGGGCCATAAACGGGCAAAAAATAAGCATTTTTCTAGTTTCCAGACAATAATTTGTGTTCAAGTGTATGGATCTCTCTGAAATTGTACTGCAAGGTACCATACCACAAAGTGAAGGCTGGGGTTGATTTTGGGGGTAATTCCCTCAAAATTTTAGGAATTAGGGGCCATAAACGGGCAAAAAAACAAGCATTTTTCTAGTTTCAGGACAATAACTTGTGTGTAAGTGTATGGATCTTTATGAAATTGTACTGCAAGGTTCCATATCACAAAGGGAAAGCTGGGTTTGAGTTTGGGGGTAATTGCCCTAAACGTGTAGGAATTTGGGGCCAAAAAGGGGCCAAAAAACAAGCATTTTTCTAGTTTCCAGACAATAACTTGTATTCAAGTGTATGGATCTCTCTGAAATTGTACTGCAAGGTACCATACCACAAAGGGAAGGCTGGGATTGAGTTTGGGGTGGTGAATCATAAGGGGGTTCAAAAAATTTGGGGAGGGATTTTTTTTTCCTTTTTTTTCTTTAGAATTTTCCATTTTAAATTGGTTATTTCTGATTTATATATAAAAGCAAATAATAATGATATGGTTTGAATAGGTAAATTAAAAAAATTTAAGTTCTTAGACCACTTTCATTCTGTGTCAGAAACCTATGCTGTGTCAAATATTTAATTACAATCCAAATTCAGTGCTGTATCAAGCTTGCATGTTGTGTCCATACTTGCCCTAACTGTTCAGGGTTCGACCTCTGCGGTCGTATCAAGCTGCGCCCCAGCGAAGCATTTTATTATGAATGAGTTACACCAGTTAACAGGTGGTCAATCGGCCTTAAACGATGTCATCGAACAATCAGTTCTTACTGTGATGTATTAACATAAGCATTGTGACATAGGAAATTTATGGGGTACACAAATTCGAAAGTCCTCTACGGAGATTAGTTAAAACTAAGAAATATTGTGATATTGCATCGTAAGAATGGTAAGGATAATATATTGGATCACATGCCACATCTGACACATTACTTAGTAGTTAAATTCTGGAAGACTTAACTCGCGAAGCACTGAAGATATTTTTGTATGCTTAATTGCTACATAGTCCAATGATCACAAACAACCAATTAGTGAAGACTTATGTTGGCTAGTGTTTCACACAGACACCTGGATGTTGCCCTCAAAGTGCTAGATTTATTTTTGGGTTGCTGTTTCATTTATATAAACCCCATATCTCCTTATATTCAATTTTGTACTCTGCAATATATATGTAGCTTAGGAACCTTAAGAAAAGTCTTGTCTCATATTTACATTGAGTCTTATAGAAATCAGAAGCAAGAATATCAGATCCTACTGTAACATAAATATACACACAGAACCTTTCATCGTGCATATTTATGTGTCAGGTTTATAATTCAGATATCGTCCTGAACAAACATGAAATATTTGCCACTGGACGTTAACCAACCAACAATCAATTAATATAATTCAGATGTATGATGACGCAAAGTAAGCAACAATCAGTCAATCGTTTAGATGCAAGCTATTATCCAGTTTAACCTTCAATGCTATTATCCAGTTCAACCTTGCATGCTATTATCCAGTTTAACCTTGCACATGTTGCATGCTATTCTCCAGTTTAACCTTCAATGCTATTCTCCAGTTTAACCTTCAGTGCTATTCTCCAGTTTAACCTTCAATGCTATTATCCAGTTTGACCTTCAATGTTATTATCCAGTTTGACCTTCAATGCTATTATCCAGTTTAACCTTCAATGCTATTCTCCAGTTTAACCATCAATGCTATTCTCCAGTTTAACCTTCAAAGCTATTCTCCAGTTTAACCTTCAATGCTAATCTCCAGTTTAACCTTCAATGCTATTATCCAGTTTAACCTTCAATATGTTCTGTTGTTTGTTTCTGGTGTTTTATAGTGACCACTTTTAGTGCCCCTAGCTGTATCGTGGGGCCAGTTAATTGGAGGGGGAAGTCTGAGAACCACTAACCTTCAGCAGCAAAACTGGCAATCCTAGCAATTAAGATGGGAGTCGAACTCACCGCAGAGCCACCGAGGCTACACTTCAAATGTAATATTGGTATATCGTAAGTCTTTAAGACAGGTTATGTAAAGTTGACCTGAATAAAGGGCGGGAAATTTGTACTGCCACTAAAAAAAGAGACAAGGTTGGATAGGAACAGAAGGAATGTAACCTCGTAAAATGCCTAAGGCACATATACACCACTAATTGTGCCCTCTCTCTCTACACAAGACATCGGATTTAACGTCCCTATTCCGACCGAACAAACGTTATTGCGTATTTATACATACCACAAAGACAAACGGATACCCTTTATCATAAAGTTTACTGCTGAAAGGGAGAAGTCAAGGTGACCATATCTCTTATACCTAAGTCAACCCTTTGTGTTAGCTTGTAAAGGGCATACACATGAAAATGATAAAAGTTTTCATTACTATGCAACCAAGATGTAATTTCCTTTATACTGTGTTCAAGTTGTTGATACAACTTGTGTATTTTTAATTTAAGCTAAATATTGACAAATTGTTTTCACGGGTTATGTTTATTTTTGCAAGCAAACATTAATATGAAAGAAAACAAAAGCAAGCTGAAGCAAAGAGCAATTATAACTTAAATGTCAGAGGAGAATCATGTATGATGAGGTATATGTTGAAACCTGTATGTACATGTATTTCAGTTTTACAGATCTATGGCAGCCCCCTTTTCTCCACAAGATACGTTATTGTTTATGAGTGTTGTGCTTGTACTTGTGCTTTTTTACCGATCGTACCGGTATTACAGAGTTAAAGGGTTTCCCTGAAATAAAGGTTCCTGTCCTCCATGTTAATAAAGTCTGTTTACCGATCGTACCGGTATTACAGAGTTAAAGGGTTTCCCTAAAAGAAAGGCTCGTGTTTATGTTAAGGAAGTCTGTTTATCGATCGTACCGGTATTATAGAGTTAAAGGATTTCCCTGAAATAAAGGCTCCTGTCCTCCATGTTAAGGAAGTCTGTTTACCGATCGTACCGGTATTATAGAGTTAAAGGGTTTTTTCTGAAATAAAGGCTCCTGTCCATGTTAAGGAAGTTTGTTTACCGATCGTACCGGTATTATAGAGTTAAAGGGTTTCCCTGAAATAAAGGCTCCTGTCCATGTTAAGGAAGTTTGTTTACCGATCGTACCGGTATTATAGAGTTAAAGGGTTTCCCTGAAATAAAGGCTAGTGTCTATGTTTAGGAAGTCTGTTTACCGATCGTACCGGTATTATAGAGTTAAAGGGTTTCCCTGAAATAAAGGGTCCTGTCCTCCATGTTAAGGAAGTCTGTTTACCGATCGTACCGGTATTACAGAGTTAAAGGGTTTCCCTAAAAGAAAGGCTCGTGTCTATGTTAAGGAAGTCTGTTTATCGATCGTACCGGTTTTTATAGAGTTAAACGGTTTCCCTGAAATAAAGGCTCCTGTCCTCCATGTTAAGGAAGTCTGTTTACCGGTCGTACCGGTATTATAGAGTTAAAGGATTTCCCTGAAATAAAGGCTCCTGTCCTCCATGTTAAGGAAGTCTGTTTACCGATCGTATCGGTATTATAGAGTTAAAGGGTTTTTCTGAAATAAAGGCTCCTGTCCATGTTAAGGAAGATTGTTTACCGATCGTACCGGTATTATAGAGTTAAAGGGTTTCCCTGAAATAAAGGCTAGTGTCTATGTTTAGGAAGTCTGTTTACCGAACGTATCGGTATTATAGAGTTAAAGGGTTTCCCTGAAATAAAGGGTCCTGTCCGCCATATTAAGGAAGTCTGTTTACGGATTCATACCGGTATTATAGAGTTAAAGGGTTTCCCTAAAACAAAGGCTCGTGTCTATGTTAAGGAAGTCTGTTAACCGATCGTACCGGTATTATAGAGTTAAATGGTTTCCCTGAAATAAAGGCTCCTGTCCTCCATGTTAAGGAAGTCTGTTTACCGGTCGTACCGGTATTATAGAGTTAACGGGTTTCCTTGAAATAAAGGCTCGTGTCTATGTTAAGGAAGGTTGTTTACCGATCGTACCGGTAGTATAGAGTTAAATGGTTTCCCTGAAATAAAGGGTCCTGTCCTCCATGTTAAGGAAGTCTGTTTATCGATCGTACCGGTATTATAGAGTTAAAGGGTTTCCTTGAAATAAAGGCTCGTGTCTATGTTAAGGAAGTCTGTTTACCGATCGTACCGGTATTATAGAGTTAAAGAGTTTCCCTGAAATAAAGGCTCCTGTCCTCCATGTTAAGGAAGTCTGTTTATCGATCGTACCGTTATTATAGAGTTAAAGGGTTTCCCTGAAATAAAGGCTCCTGTCCATGT